ATGCAGTTATAAACATCATACAATTAATCTAGCAGTATTTGAATGGAAGAGTAAGAGGTGGGACAGATAAGGGAGGAGAAGAAAAAAGAAGAAAAAGAAGAAGAAGAAGGAAGGAATGAAGAAATGATCGGGTTAGAGTGTTCTAGACATATATAGACTATTTTACCAATGTGTAATATGTTGGAATAATTTTACCAACAAAACCCACATAGGTAATTAACCTAAAAGCGGGAATCCAAAAAAACAAAAAATTTGCATTCCCGTCTAAACTCATCGACCAGTTTCAACAGGGGGTCTCGGCATGTAGACGAAAATGAAAGGGGAAAAGGGGGTCTCGGTAGGTAAGGGGGAAGCTTACTGACGGGTTCCCGTTGGAAACCCATAAAGCTCACCGACAGGTTCCCATTGGAAACCTGTAAAGCTCACCAACGGGTTCCTGTTGGAAACCCGTAGAGCTAATCAACTCTACATTGCTTCAAGAATTTGGTTGACCAGGATCATCACCGACAAACTCAACGTTGGTGTGTAATGCAAATTACCGATGAGAATATTGTTGGAATTTATGAAAAAACTGACGCGAGCAGCCAATTCACTGTGTGAGGTTGGAATTGTGAACTTACCGACAAGGATCATGTCGGTATATGAGTTACTAGTCCTCACGCCACCGGACTAACTTTTTCAGAATTTTACCGACAAGGAGCACATGTGTATATCATTAAATCACCGATAAACATTTTATCTGAAACTTAAATAATATAAATTATTATAATTTTTATTGTTACTACATTTACAGATATGTTTCTTGTCGGTAAAGTGCTCATTTACTGATAACAAGTTTTATGTCGGTGATTTGGGGTCGGTGATTTTGGGTTTTCTAGTAATGTATGTCCTTTGTTTAATATAATGTTGTTTCCTTTTCTTTTAATTTTTCTGATGTTAGTGTATACAAAGAACTAAATGTTCTTTATTTTTTATGATTTCGAATTAGATATTAAAGACTTGACTTTTCATTTTAATTAACTAAATTTTATATAGTTTATTTCACTATTTTAGTCTTAATTTTATTAATACTTGGATGAGTTGAATGTGATTTTATTGGACTTTAATGATTTTATTATTTGTGAACAAAGGGTTGGAATGCATGAATTAGAAATTTCAAGGCTTAAATCTGATTCTTTCAAAAGTTTAATGACTAAATTGGAGCAACAAAAGTTGAAATCTTGGACTTGATTGAATATATATAAATTTTAAGGAACAAAGTGTATAGTATTAAAAAGTTGGGGAACCAATAATTTTATTTTATGTTAAAAATTCAAACGATTTTAATAAATTGATGAACGGCGTTATGACGTTCGCCGACGGAGGGATGATGCGCCAATTCTTCAGAGTTGCGGGGTTCTCTAAGAATTTTCTTTAAGTAGGAGTATTACATTTACTCCTTATGCAAAAGAAAGAGATTTTCAATGGCTTCAAGGATTCATTTAGTATAACAATTTGAGAGTAATATTTAGTAGTTTTATTCAAATTATTGTAGTATAATTATTTGGTAAATTTATTTATTATTAAACAATTATAAATTAGGTATTTGGTAACATTTTTTATTTAATAATTTGAAACTAGTGGATTGTAAATAGGATTCAAAACTTTAGTGGATTAAAAAAGATATTTAATTTTTGGCCAAACTCTTTATTTTCACCTTGTACATTATTTTTTTTATTGTCAACACCCTTTATAATTTTCACTCTTGGTCAATCCCATCCATAATTTAAAACTTACGGAAAAACTTTAAATTACCAACAAAACTAAGGTGCAAATATGGGGTTTGATCATTAATTGAGTTTTCTTACAAGTTTTGAATTATGAAAGATTTTGATTGGGAATAAAAATTTTTGAGAGTGTTGACCACTAAAACAAAATAATATACAAGGAACAAATAGGGGGTTTGGGCATAATTTTTTGTATCAAACCATTAGTGAATTGAAATGTTTTAATTTTATTAATAAATTTATCCATTTTAATTTTTCTATTTTTTAGCCACAATTTTTTACTAATTATCTAATTAGTTTCAATTTCATTTTTTTTCTTTTTAATAACATTAGGTAATTATTATATTTTAACTTTTACATTAACTTATCATCAAAAATTTTATATTAGATCAATAAACAAAATTTGATAAAAAAAATAAAATAAGTAAAAGTTTGTTTTTTCTATTTTTAAAAATAATATAAATTTTTCTTTATTAAAAATAGAAATGAGAGTGTGATTCTTATTTTTATATTTTATTTTGTTTATTTATTTTCTTATTATTTTTTATAAATTAATAATTTAAATAATAAAAATATAAAAAAAATTAATTTTTTTAAAACATATATTTATTAATCATTTAATGTCAAGTAACAATTGTTAACCATTATATAATTAAATGATTATATTAATCAAATTTTGTTATCTATTATAAGATATCTATTAATCATCATTAGCTATTCATTAACTGCAATCCACTATTCGTTAATTACCACACATTACCTATCATCATTATTTGCTATCTGCTACCTATTTTCTGCTATTGATTATCCACTATTTGTTAAATTTTAACCACAATATTAATTAAACTAACCCTATGCCAAGTTTTAAACTTATTACCTAAAAACTCAGCATTTCTTGTATGTGTAACCAAAAACTACAATAAAAGCAATGTTTGGCCAAACTTCTGTTCTACTCTAAAGAAACTGTTATAGAAGAATATGTTAATCTATAAGGACCTAAACAACATAGTGATAATCTCTTCTTTAAATAAAGTAAGAAATCTTGAATTTGAATTATAAATATTTTTTTTTTTGATCAGCAAAAGAAAATTTATTTATTTATTTTTGGAGCACAAGGGGTACTCCTGCCCATTACAAATACAAAATCATCAGGGATGTTACAAAGACCACATCAACTGAAGCCTTAAAACACATTCTGCAGTTTAAATCCAAATAAAACCTTTTAAACTAAATAGTAGGCAACCGAAACTACTTCATGAAAATGACAACTATCCAGACTGCTGCAGAACAATGATGAACCTCGCATCCCTCAATTCTTACTCTGTCACCATTCCTTTCTGTTGTTTATGGAACAGCTTCAGCTCCCTTTTGTATCTTCTCATTGATATAGCACATTCAACTGGATTCACTTTCCACTCATATAAAGAAAAAACACAGCCTTGAATTTTGTTTTTGATCCAAAAGAAAGACTTGGCTTGAACCATATCTAAAAGTCTTCCCCTAATGCTATCTCCATTATTAAACACCTTGTCATTTCTCCAATACCATAAATACCATGAGACAACAAGAAAGATGCAAGCCCCCATCTCCTTCCCTATTATCCTACCCATATCATGAACAAAAATACCTGCCACGCCTAATACATTATTAGGCATAACAATCTCCATCCCCCACCACTTCAGAATCTCTACCCAAAAAATCCAGGCTTCCTTACACATACAAAATAAATGATTAGCTTCATCGATCATTCCACAACATAGACCACACATTAACTCCTCCCCCTGCAAGGAAACCCCTCTTTTCATAATATTCCACTTAGTTGGTAACCTATCAAGGCATAATCTCCACCCAAAGAAAGACACTTTGGATGGTACTAATCTACACCAAATAAGCTTGCTCAATTGGTCCTCTAAAATACTCTCTGTAGGAGTTAAAAATTCATAAGCCTTCCTCACCATGAAAATTCCCTCCGAATCGTGAACCCACCTCCAAAAATCTTTCACACCCTTCTTTAATTGAATACTATCCAATGCCTCTCTCAACACCTCCTCCTCATCCTTCTCTCAACCTATTCTCCCTCTCCTCCAATCCAAATTCCAACTCCATTTTTCTCCTTCCCATACCCCCATGTCACTAATATTACCCAACTTATTCTTAGAAAGCTCATACAACCTTGGGCATAAATCTCGTAGATTTTTATTCCCAACCCACAATTCTCTCCAAAATCCCACCTGGTTCCCTTCCCCCACTTCCCACCTAAAACCTTCCACTAGCATATTTTTAAGCCTCCTGGAATGACCCCTACACTAATAATATCTCTCCAAATTTTAGATGTCCTCCAATTTCCAATTGCTGTAATGTCCACCTCCTCTCTCTTGCCCCCATAATATTTCTCCGTTACTATCCGTTTCCATAAGCTCTCCACATCCTCTCCAAATCTATACCACCACTTCCCTAGTAAAGCCCAATTCTTCCTACGTAGATCCGATACCCCTAAACCCCCTTTTGCCTTAGTTCCACACACCTTATCCCAATTCACCCACGAGATCTTCCTCTGCCCCTCTACCCCTCCCCATAAAAAATTTCTCTGGATACTAATCAATTTAATCATCACAGGATTTGGAATTAAGAACAGCGACATATAAAAAATGGGTAGAGCAGAAAGTACCGAATTGAGCAGAGTGAGGCGGCCACCAAAGGACAGCGAAGCAGCCTTCCAGACAACAAGTTTGGCTCGAAATTTATTAATTAGCGGCTCCCATAACTTCTTATTCCCAGGATTTCCATCAACATGCATTCCCAAATAAGTAAGATGAGATTTCCCACCACCACAACGCAACATGCTGGCTGCTCCTTTTACCCATCTCTCTGTCACATTATACCCATAAATGATACTCTTGCTAAAATTAATTTGCAGCCCAGACATCAGTTCGAACCATCGCAGAATTGTTTTGACCATAAAAATATTTTCTGTGTCAGCTTTTCCCATAAAGATTGTGTCATCTGCGTATTGAAGTAAAGAAATAGCTAATCCCCTCCTGCCAATCTCTATGCCTCTCAACAAGCCCTCCGACACTGCTTTTTGTACCAAACCATTTAATCCCTCTCCAATCATCAAGAATAAAAAAGGAGATAGCGGATCACCTTGTCGTAGCCCTTTTCCAGCTTTGAACTCCTCTGTTGGGCTGCCATTAATTAGAACTGACATTCTAGTAGTCGACAAGCACTCCATGATCCAACCTCTCCACTTGATTCCAAACCCCAATCTGTCCATCATCCATTCCAAGAATGTCCAATCCACGCAATCATATGCCTTTGCAAAATCAGCCTTAAAGATAAATGTCGACTATTTCCTTCTCTTAACTTCCTCCACCACCTCGTTCAACACCAATACGCCATCAACTAATTGACGTCCTCCCAAGAAAGCTGATTGAGTTTCACTGATAATCGCCGGCAGAACAGCTTTAAGTCTATTAGCCAACACCTTTGATAACAGCTTATACATACATCCGATCAAGCTAATAGGTCTATAATCCTTTAAATTCCCAGTGTTAAGCTTTTTAGGAATTAAAGTTAGAAAAGATGAGTTCAAACCACTAACCAATCTACCATTCCTATGAAAATCTTTAAAGAAGCTCATAAAATTCTCCTTTAAACTATTCCATGCGAACTTGAGAAAAGAAAAATTGTACCCGTCTGGGCCCGGAGCTTTAGAACCTTCACAGCTTCGCAATCCTTCTTCAATTTCCTCGATGGAGAATGGTCGTTCAAGCCACTGTTTGTCCTCTGTAGAAATCTGCTTGAAGTTAATCCCTTGAGGCTTTGGTCTATTCCACAAATCTCCTTGATAAAGTTTGCTAAAATAATTAACCACCTCCTTCTTAACTTGTATTGGATCTTCCACCCAAACACCATCACACCATAGGCCTGAGATAAGATTTTGGGCCTTTCTCCCATTTGCTATTCTATGAAAGAATCGCGTGTTTGCATCTCCCTCACATACCCAATTGCTTCTTGACTTCTGTCTCCAAATCACTTCTCTCTTCCTCAAAATATCCCACATATTTTGAAATCCTTCTTGTCTATGAAGAATCTCAAATTCATCCAAAACAAAATCTTCATTTTTCAAATCAACATGCTCAACCTTTTTAACCGCCTGATCGTATTGAGCTTCCATATCCCCAAACACATCTCGGTTCCAACCCTTTAAAAACTCTTTCAGCTTCTTTAGTTTCTGTTTACATTTATACCCTGCAAATCCATCGACCTCCATTGCGCTCCACTTCTCCTTGATAATCTTCTTAAAATTCGGATGTAGTTGCCAAGCATCCAGAACTCGAAATGGCCTTGGTCCCCAATCCACTATTCTTGTTTTCAACACAATCGCACAGTGATCAGAAATATTTCTTTTCAAGCCTTGTTGCACCCACTCTGCACTCATACTGTACATCTCTGCATTCATCAACACTCTATCCAGTCTGCTCATGGCTGTGCCATCCGATTTATACCATGTGAAACGCCTATTAGCCATATTAATATCTATTAATCCTGCTGATTGAATAAATCCATCAAAATCCTTCATATCTGGGGTCTCCCCTGTTCTTCCCCTTCTTTCCTCAAGGCATCTAACAGCATTGAAATCTCCCGCAATCAGCCACCGTCCTCCCTCTTCTGTAATCATGGTCCTTAACTCATCCCATATCTTTAACCGTTTCTGTCTATCATTTGGACCGTAAACATTCACTAGATTATACTTCATCTTATGTATTCCCCACTCCCCTGATATTCTCAAATACCCATCTCCCGTGGAGTTTCCTGTCTTAATGAAATTCGCCTTATTCCAGAAACACAATAATCCTCCTGAAGCTCCTATTGATTCCTTCATTACCCATCCAAATTCTCTCGAATCCCACATCATCCTACACAAATTGTCCTCCACCTTTTCTAACTTAGTTTCTTGCAGCAATAGAAAGTCCGGTTGTTCCACTCTCACCAATTTACCTACTTCCTTCCTCTTCAACACATTACCCAAACCCCTAACATTAAAGGACACTAACTTCATTAACTATTTATGCCACCCACAAACACTCTGCTACCTACCCTACCCATTAATCCCGCTTCCCCTTTTGTTCCCCTGCTTCCACCCTTTCTTCCAATTCAACCAATCAGGACAGCACTTCCCCTTCATTATCTTGGAAATGAATGCCCAATCTCTTTCCTACACTCATCATCTTCCTTACCTCATGTAATGTCAGCTCCTTTCGGATTAAGTTGTTTCTATATTCTATACATCCATCAGAAATAGAACAGCTACCAAGCATATTTACCTGGCTCTCCGCACCCAGTATCGGATCTGCTCTCCCTCTCTGTTGCTGCTTTGTACTCGATTTTGCCCCCTGCGACTTTGTTGTCCGAAGCTTCGTGCCCTTTTCTGGATAGTAGTCTTCTACCCGTCTTTGCCGTCTGCCCCCTGTTTCCTTACATTCCAGTTCACGGATTGTAGAATTAACCTTTTCTAAAGCCACAATGGGCCCTTTCTTTCCATTTCTTGTCTTTCCTCCTTGATTATTAACCTATCCCCTAACACTATTATCACCCAACCCAATTCCTTTTTCCTCCACCGGCCCACTGTCCTTAGATGACCCATTATCCATGGATGGCCCAATAACCACATCTCTTCTGACACCTTTTTTTACCTCTGTATGCTCACTTTCCATTTCTTCCACTGTATTTTTCAAATTTGAATTTGCAATGCAGAGATTTTCCTTCATTAATTGCTCTTCATCAATGCTAACGTCTTCTTCGCCGCAAATATCGAGATTGATCCATTCCTGATCTTTCTCATCACTCTGCTCTGAGGAAAACTCCGAATCCGTTACTGACATACTCCGCCGGTCAACGTCCGACAGCCACCAATCTGGGTCGGAGCGCCATTCTTCCTCCACCACTTGTATCTCATACCATTTTCCTTCTACTTTCAGAGCAATCTGTTTAGAGATCTTCTGCTCCGCAAGACATATGACTAAAATTCTCCCATCACAAAGAATTGATTTTGATGATGTATCCTCATGAATCTTCACCACCTCTCCCACTGATTCTCCGATCATCTTGAAACATCTATCGCTCCAGGCCTTCAAAGGGATACCGTTAATGCGTAGCCATGCCATTCTGCTTCTATCCTGCACTTGCTTATCCCATGATTGTATATCTTCAAACCACAAGGCACATAATTCCTTATTATGGTTCATAAATTCAAGCAAAGAACCCGGTTCATGTTCAGATAATAATACCCTCCTTCCCCCTAATGGTGAGATCGTGATCAACCCACCATCTACATCAATTCTCTGCTGCACATCTTTTACTATTGATAGTGATTTCACGACCGCCACTAAGCCCCCTTCAAGCCACTGGTTCTCTTCCTGCTCCGGTGTGAATTCCATTATTTCTTTTTGAGGTTCCCCCATTCTATTCTCCGTCATACATTTTTTACCAGCTAGTGTGTCACATGATGCCACTTCCTCCTTCCTGTTTTGATGCCTCGCTAAACCTGATTCTTTTTCCATTTGGATGATGCCCCTGTCTTCCCCTTCCAGCGATCCTGTACGGTCCGGCAAGCATTGGAAACTCTGAGTCTTTCCCTTCACCACTTGAGCATATGACTGTCCTGGTTGTACCCTCCTATCTTCTCTATGCTGTTTTCTGTCTCCCATAACTTTATCTTTAACATTTACGTTACTTCGTTCCTCTGCTATCTTCACTCGCAATTTGTAAGAACCAAACCAGATATCATTAAGTCTCCTCACCATCTGATTATCGTTCTGCACCCCTAACATGCGTAGAAAGCCAAATCTCTTCCCCCACTTGTCACGCTTCTTTGGTACATACACATCTAGCACTTTTCCACATCTCTGAAAGCTGAACCATAACTCTTTCTCCTCACAATTTTCTGGAAAATTGTAAAAGAAAAATGTCTTAGTCTGTTTTATAAGCCTGTGATCTAATCCCGGAATCCACCGCCTGTTCCCCTGCCGCTGTCTGGTGCCGTTGGCTTCCCTTGTCGCTGCTCCTCTCGCTCTGATCCTCATACCTCTGCTTTTTTAATATAAATATAATTGATTCGCATGTTTTTCTTATTTAGGATTGTAAACAAGTCAAGTCTTGAATTATAAATATTTAAATTAGGTAAATAAAGTAAGATGAAAAAATTGCTTCCTATTAGGCAATTAAAAAATTTTTTTTTTTTTTAAATGTCAAACCGGCAATTAACCTGTAGAATTGAACTGCTTTATTAAAAAACCAGTAGAATTGAAAATTAATAGGGAAATGTGCTTAATCATGTGACCAGGTTTCAACTGCATGCTGCTGATAGATGAAAAACGATGGGCGTTCAGGCTTACCATATGAGAAAAGAAACCCAAATCACCAAGAAAAACCTGTTAAAAAAAAAAGAAAAAAGAAAAGGGCACTTTTAAAGTTCCAGTTACTAATGTAAGAAAAACATGAGCCACCACGGAAAAGAATCCTCAAGTTTTGCAAAACTGATTCACTTTTCAAGTGTATAAATGCCAATCGTAATTCCAATGCCATGCATAACCTTCCTGCATTCACAAATGGTATTGGTCCCTGGAAATGCTCTTATTGTCATTTCCTTGCTTCTGCTGATTCCGCCATGTCTGGCGCAGTGGAATGCAACTGCAACTTCATCGCGATGGCTTAAGAATGTCACCAACTGGCGGCGCCCGCGACCAGAAGGGTGCAGTTATAGGCCATGGATATGCGGACAAGGACAGCAACCGCCAACGGTCCGAATGCGGTGCTGCAGGAACAAATGTGTGGATGTTGCATCTGATGTTAATCACTGTGGTCTATGTCGGATTAGATGCCGGTTTTCTTGGCAATGTTGCCGAGGGTTGTGTACGAATACAAATTTGAATCGGTTTAATTGTGGGAGATGTGGAAGGAGATGCGCCGGAGGGGTTAGGTGCCTTTATGGATTATGTGGATATGCACAGCCATTACCACCTCGCCCACCTTTCCCGAGGCCGCGACCATTGCCTCTTCGTTCTCCAGGGGTTGTTGATCCACCGCCTATGACGAGTGAGTAGAGAGTCTTCTGCTGCGGCTTTGGCGTATTTGACGAGGAAAAAAATAATTTTATATAAACTCAGGAAAGGTATTGAAAGAGAACTGTTACTATATTAGAAAATTATATATATATATATATATATATATATAAAAGGAATAAATTGGCTATCAATCAAAAGGGTGATTTCTATATTGTAGCTCTTACAAAATCTTTAAAAGATTAAATAAATTACTTTAAATCATCTTTAAACTACTTTTTTTTTTTGGCCATGTCTTATTTTTTGTTTTGGTTATAAATATTGTATCCAAAAAAAAATTATTATGAAATAATATAGAAAATAGATAAAACAAGAACTAGAAGTAGAATGACCAGTAGTGTGAATCATTTCACATAAAATGGATGTATTTATACCAGAAAAATTATAATCTCCCAACTCGATATTATTCATTGTACAATACTAAGTAAATTTATGTTTAAGATGTGTACTTGTAAAACAAAATTAATGCAAAGGGCATTATTAACCATGCGTTGGAGAGGAAGAATTGGGAAAGCAATGCAAAGAAATGATTGTTTCTATAGGAGATAAAATAGTGTAATAGCGATCTTTATTGTTTCTATAAGAGATAAAATAGTGTGTAACAGCTATCTTTATTTTATAATATACAAATAAATTATAAAAAAGTAAGTTATAATATATAAGAAACTCCTTTTACCTCAAAATTCATAGAAGGATAATAATTGGTATACACTTTAATTCAACAGTCTGTACAATATATTCATTAAAAAATTATTATTTTTTAATATAAAATTAAAAACAGACAAATTTAAAAATACAATCATATATATAAAATATAGAAACTGACTGAATCGATTGTATTTATATTATATTTTTAATAGTTAAACTAAAAATGCGTCATAAAATATATTGAACTGAATGTGTATCAATAATTTTCCTTTATAAAATAATAAATGTTTTTTTATCTAGAGTATGTTCAAGAATAATAATCTTCTTTTATATTCTAAAAGAGATAAATATTTTTTTCTTATTCTAACTCTATGATTATCTTGTAACTTTAATTATCCATCCTATTATTAAAAGGTCCATTTATTTTTGTTTGTTTTTTAACAAGTAAATTAGGTAAAAAATATAGAAATTAGCCCAAAATTCTTAATCTAAAAATAAAATAAAATAACTTTTATTATTTTAAAATTGAGAGAGTTGTGTTTATTACATAGGCTTCTAAAATTTTAGAAGGAGAAACGGTCCAAAATTATGTTCTTTTAATAAAGCACCACAAGAACAAAACAAATAACAAGTTCATTCCATTTTTAGAAAATATGTTATTTTAATTATTCTTAATAAGAATTTATTAAAACAACTTAGTTTAACGATGTATAATTCATAAGGCAATCTAGCAATAAGTCAATAACCTAATGAGCTTGTTATATATAGTGATATTTTGAAGGAGGAAGCTATTGCACAACTCAAGTGGGAATTCTCCCAAGAAGCTCTATTGTTTGAGAAGCTCACATAGAACAAAGAGGGATTGTACTTTTTAAAATTTTTGGGCATACTACCCAAGAAATTATTTGTGGATAGAGAGATTACATTTAAATTGGTAAAATTAGAAATGTTCTCTAGCAATTCCTTATTTAGTTAATTTTTCTAAAAGATACAACTTTTCAAGATTCTTTAAATTTCCTATCTTTGAGGAAATCGGATTAGAAAGTGTGTCGTTAAATAGATGGACTCATCAGCTTTATCAATAAGTTGATTTTAGATGAAATCTTACTAGTAAAATTATTGTTTTGAAATTACAATGAGATCAATTGAGTCCAACGGCCAATAAGAGTGAGTGGGATTTGACCAAAAAGAAAATTTTCAAATAGACCCAATTCAAAAGTTCTAACTAGATTGGAGAATGATATAGGTAATTGACTAGCAAGTTGATTCATGGCTAAAGCCAAAAAAAGTGAGATTGGTACAAGAACCAAGCTCAAAAAGAAGGAATGTTAGGGTTTAAAGATTTTAAATGAAGATCAAGTCTCATTAGTTTTTTAGTTGACCTAAAGAAGATGCGTGGTGCCTCCTAATAGACTTTTACATAATTCAAGAATTTGAAGGGCAAACAAGAGACTTATACTTTAAGAAATTGGGCCACCAAATTGGTTAGCTCCTAACTAAAAAGCTACAAGCTTAGAAATTATTTAAATGTTTGATGATAATAGACCCTAATATCAATTATGACTAAAATTGAAGGCCTTAGGTTTAACCAAACTGGTGAACATTGATTTTAGCATTGCTCCAATCAATGAATTAGTTAACAAGTCTAGAAAAGTAGGATTTCAACAATTAATGACGAAAGGAGGGAAATTTAATTCCAATGTATTATATTAAAGTCCAACATAAATTAACAAAGACATGTCTAAGAACTTAGACCAATCAAAGCTATTATATAATACCATCCAAGGTCTAAGTAGCATTTCTTTTAAAGATGGCTAAGTTGATAAGAGATGCTAGTGTTGAGACTATTGTTGAACAGGTTAAGATACTCAAGCTCTATCAGCTATCCTATCTCCATTAGCATAATATCAACCAAACTAATGTTGCTCAAGTCCAAGTGAGTGAACTTGGACAAGTTGCTAATGATTGGTGGTATTGATCTAGCAAGAATATTATTGTAGAGGTTAAAGTGGGTCAAAATGGAAAATGGGGTGAAGTTGAACTAGACTAATGTTCTTGTGATGTTTGTATTAGTAAGGTTGATTTTAGACACTATTTCAGTGGAACCATCACAAATGATAGAGATCTAGTTCTCAAGATTACCAATATTATTGGTAGACCAAGAACTTAGAAAAAATGGTGAAAAACACAAGTTGTTCTTCCATTAAATAAGAGCTTTTGCTTGTATTTTTAGTGAAATAAAAATATTCAATGGAAGAAAGGAAAGTAAGGGAACCTGGAATATGAAAATGTTTCATCGCAATGGACACTAAAATGAATTATGACTAAAATTGAAGGCCTTAAGCTTAATCAAATTGTTGAACATTGATTCTAGCATTGGTCTAGTCAGAGAATTGGTTGATAAGTTTAGGAAAGTAAGATTCCAACAATTGATGATAAAAAGAGGGAAATTGGATTCTAATGCATTATATGAAAATCCAAGGTGAATCAACAAAGATATGTCTAAGAACCTGGACCAATTAGAGCTATTATATAATTTAATCCAAGGTCTAAGTACTTTTCCTTTTGAAGATGGCTAACTTGATAAAGGATGCTACTGTTGAGATTGTTGTTGAACAAGCTGAGATATTGAAGCTTCATTAGCTATCCTATCTCCACTAACATAATATCTATCAAACTATTATTGCTCAGGTGTAGGTGAGTGAGTTTGGACAAATTGCCATGTAATATCCCCAAATTTTCTAAGACATTTAAGTGTGAGTTATGGACTTAATTGTGAGAGAATAATATTGTTGGCCTTAATAATAGAAATTTTCAAAGTTCAGGGACTTAAAAGAGAAATTTTGGATAAGGTCGGCAAAAAAAAATTTTTTTTTCCTTTTTCTTTCTTTTTTTTTCCTCCCTCACCCAGTCACGTGTTCTGCTTATCTTCTTCCTCCCGACTCCCCTGCAACCCGACAAGCCCCCCCTCAGCTGCTGACCGCCCTCTCTTGAGGAAAATTGGCAAGAGCTTAAATTTTTCCCTTGCTTTCTTGTCCAAGAACAAGAATTAGGACCTAGAAGCCTCCTGAAGTAAGAAAAATCCCAAATCTAGCTGCCTTCCTCCTCCCCTGTCGTCGATTTCAGCTTGGTGTGGATGTGAATTTCTCAGTTTTTGGGTAAGCAACAACCATGGAATTCATCTTTTCTCCCTTAATTTGGCTTGGGTTACTCTAATTTTGTTATGGGTTCTTGAATTTGGTAGTTGCCGTGAGTTCCTCCATTTCTTTTTCCCATCGGCTTCCTTCCCAGCCAGACCCGATACTACTTGCCGGAAGATTTTGGGTATGTGGCAACCCCTTGAATTCAACTTTTCCCCATTTAATTGCTAAAATTATCCATGTGATTGCTGCCCCTGTAATGTCCAATTTCTGCCGAAATATAGAAGAAATTGATAGCACTTCAAGTTGTGTTTTTAGTTTAACTCACGTAGAAATCTCTTGATTTAGCTGCTGTGAGGTTTATATGGAAAAAATCCCGTGAATTAGCTATTGTTTTGCCAAATTTCTGGAAGTTGTAGTCACTGTTCACTGCGTGATTATTGTTCAGGGTACTGTTCACATATTACTATTCATGCACTAATGGCCAATGATAGGAAGGTTTAAATGTTTAGTTTCTAACAAGAATGAAATTAGAGGTGTCCGGTCATGTGGAGGTTAATATAAATAGCATCTTGATTAGGGAGTGATCCTAATGAAGTTTTCACTTTGAATTTGTGGTAGTACGGTATTAATTCTGGGTATTTTGATTAGGTTCTTGAGTGTTCTGTCACCCGAGCACTTAGCTTGAGTTTCCGGCATTACGGATTCGAGGTAAGTAAATTATGGTAATGCCCTTTGATTTCAAAGCATGTTTTTAATTGTTTTTGAGATGGTAGCAAGATTTAAATTGATTTTATTAGCACCGAGCATGATTGGTTTGAAATGAAATTGTTTTCATTTGCATTGAGTAGAGTATGCCTACTTGGAATTGACTGAACTGCCTTGATGAATTGAGAATTTTGTAAATTCCAAGTTTTTCTGTTAAATCCATGTTCACATGGAAATTTTTCGGTTTATTTCTGAAATTTTAGATTGATTGTGAATTACAGATTTTTTTGTAAATCTTGCATGGTTTTGTCTCTGATATGATCATGATTACTGATGCCCGCCAGTGGAAGTTTGCAAACGCTGGCACATGTCGACATGTTTACTGATATAACCGGTTCATTCTGTAATCCTACCAATGGGATAATACATTGGTGATTACTGACGCCTGCCAATGGGCAAATACAGTGGTAATTACTGACGCTTGCAAGTGGGAGTTTGTTAAACACTGGTTATTACTGATGTCTGCCAGTGGGAGTTGTTAAACACTAGTTATTATTGACACCTGCCAATGGGAGTTTGTTAAACACTGGCCATGACTTATAGATGAGACTACTATTGAATTTTATTCTGCATTAATGGTTTATCATTGAACGCTTTGTTATTGATTTATAGATGAGAATATTACTAAATTTTCTTTTGCATTAATGGTTTGTCATTGAACGCTTTGTTATTGAACTGAATCTGATTTTGTATTAACGGTTTCTCATTGAACATTTTGTTATGTTAAACTGTTTATCAAGCATGCTAAAAAGTTTTACTCAAGGGCTATCCATATTTATTTACTGAGTTATCTCATAGTTTTTCCTTGTCCACCATTTTAGGAAGCGAAGTCAAGGACGGGAAAAAACGAAGGGAGTGACGAGTTAGAAGGCTAGCCATCTTGTAAATTGAACATGAATTTTAGATATAAATCATGATATTGTAAGCTAGACTTTATTTGGACATTTTATGATAGCAGGGTAAATTTTAAAATTTTATCTTCAGATTTTGTGGTATCAGATTGTGATATGATAAGTTCCGAGCCTTGAGCATTTGTGGGACCCTTTCACAAGTGTAATACATCTACCACATCCTCGGATTTGGGTTTTGGGGCGTGATATGCCAATAGTTGGCGGTATTGATCCAATAAAACTGTTATTGTAGAGGTTAAAGTAGGTCAAATTAGAAAATGTGGGGAAGTAGAACTAGGCTAATGTTCTAGTGATATTTGTGTTGATGAGGTTGATTTCAAACACCATTTTGGTGGAGCTATCACAAGTGATAAAAGTTCAATTCCAAAGATTATCAATATTGTTGGTAGACCAAGAACTTAAGAAAATGGTGAAAAGACAAGTTCCTCTTCTAGTATATAAGAGCTTTTGCTTGTGTTTTTGGTTAAGTAGAAACATTTGATGGAAGAAAGAAAAGTAAAGGAGCCTCGGTTAGCTCAATGCGTTTCAAGAGGGTGGAAGGAATAGAGTTTTAAGATTTTTCCTTTTTTTGCAATCACAGTAAAAATCAAAGAGATAAGAGATAAGAAGCTTAGAGATGA